CCGGGGCGGTAAATACCGGTAAATACCACTGGTAAATACCGGGGGTGGTAAATACCGCCCAACCTTGGGTGCATGGAATGATTGTAAGGTCCATATGTCTATCTGAGAAGTTTCATCTTACCTTGACTTTATTTTCATAGTACATTGGACAATGTTTAGTTTTTGTGGTTTGATCTATTTTTCAGATACTGTTAGCAATAAGGCCCTTATATTTGGTGAATGGAATGATTGTAAGATGCACATGTCTGTCTGGCATGTTTTATATGACCTTGACCTCATTTTCATGGTTCATTGGTCAATGAAAAGTTTGCATTGTTTTGTCAGTTTATCATACATGTCATATGCTTTAAGCAACAGGTAAATTATATTTGGTGGATGTAACGATTGTAAGGTATGCATGTCTGTCTGGCAGATTCATATAACCATGACCGCATTTTATGGTTCTTTGGTCAATGCTAAGTTTTCTTGGTTTTTTCATTTTATCAGATATTATAAGCATATGTCTACTTGCTGGTGTATGGAATGACTGCAAGGTGTCATATAAAAATAACAAGATGTCTGTCTGCCAAGGTTAATATTGCTGTGACCTCATTTTCATAGAATATTGATAATATTAAACAGCAAAAATGATGAGCAAGACAAGATATACAAATGATCCAAAATTGTCAATTGCCTACTAGTACTAATTATGTGATAGTAGTTATTGTCATTAAATAATAATGTTTACCCTTTTATGTGTAGGGCAAGGACATTAAAGATAAAGGGAAACTATAAACAAAAGAAATTATCAACAAAAATAGATTTACAGACGTCAACAAAGCCTAAATGGTAAGTCCACTTCTATAAAAGTTATTGCCCTTGAATAATGATTATTATGAAAATAAGATGTGGTATGATAAATAAGAAAACTATCCACCAGAGTTCAATTAAGTGGATGTAAGCAATGCAATTACTTATTAGAGGCCAATGATGACCTGTAAATAATGAGAAAACCCATACCCTATACATGATATAGTCATCTATGAAAGACACCACAAACAAAATTTGGAACAAAACATCAATTCAAACTTCAAATATACCAGACTAATTTATAAAAAAAAACAAGTTATGAAAAAACAAATATGACGGACTTGAACCAACATCAACCACTGAACTATGTACAGGCTCCTGATTTTGGACAGGCAAAATATGGCAGGGTTGATATAAAGATAAGAAGCGGTATGATTGCCAATGAGACTTTTCTCCAATAGAGATCAAATGACATTAAATTTAACAAAATTAGTTCACTGTACAGCCTTCGACAATGAGCAAACCCTATACTGCATAGTAATCTATAAAAGGCCATGAAATAACAAATGTAAAACAATTTAAAAAGGGCATGGTGTCTATCCATGCTAAACATGCTTGGGGGAAACACCACAAAGGCGAAAGCTAAGTGCCTGATTTTTGCACAAAACAAAAAATAAAAAACAAATATGATATATAGCAATAATTGACAACCACTGAATAACAGGCCCCTGACTTGGGACAGCCACTTACAAAATGTGGCATGGTTTAACATGTTTGCTGGCGCCAAATCCTGCTCTAATTGAGGACAGTGGTGTAAGTGTCAGTTCATTTAAATATAAAAACTATAAAATCAGTTGAAAAGGGCTATTTTCTGCTCTTTGGTCAGGTTATTTTGATACATTCCCGTTTTCATTTTCAATTTTATTAACTCATTAGAATGCAAAAAAGCAGAAAAACAGCTACCAAAAACACAGACCGGATGTGGCTGGAAATTTATTCTTTCCCTTTAACAAAAAAGACTCAACATACAGATCTATTAGTACTGACAGTTACTGACAGCTAATTCAAAGCAAATATCAACTAATAAAATAAACATTTTGTGAGCACCCAACCCACCCCTAACCTGGGACAGTGGTTTTAATAACAGCACAACATTTGAACAAACTGTAAACATTTGTTGCAATTGGCTTAACTGAAAAGACTGCAACAAGGCACAAAAAACAACTAATATGAAAACCATAGACACAAAGCACTGAAATAAGAGTTCTTACAATTTTAAATATTCAAATGAAAGTTTTATCAAAATGTACATAAACATGATAAAATAGCCATTTTATTGCTGTATTTCTCTTCATTTATAATCTTTGAGTTTTGTGTATTTGTAGGTCAGACATCTTGGTTTTCATGATCATCATTCAACAAGTCAATACTGAACAGAAAACTTAAAGTTGATATTTTTCTACATTATGTGACTTTTTTATTAATTTGAAATGGAATGTGTTTTTTTCCTACATAAGAAAGAGGAAATTTCATCATAATGACTATAAACAAAAAGGCGTCATATCATCATGATCATAGATGCACAAGAACTTAATCATGTAAATGCAACAACGTAATTATCAATTGAAAGAAGGGAGGAATGAAAAAATATATTAGTATTTTGTTGTCCAAATGAACTTGCTTTGTCCACTCATTTAAATCACTCCATCCAATAAAGATGTACGGTGGAAAATTTTTGAAGAACAGATTGCAAAAGAGGTTTTGTCTTAGAATTGTAGGAATATTCTAGTGGATGAAATAATTTATTTACTTGACTCTTATATAGTGGACTGAATAATTGTAAATAGCAAGCTGAAACAAGAAAAACTAAAACTTAACAGGAAAAGTGTTTATTTTATAAATTTGCAAATATAAACGTAATATTATGAACACCACAAAGGTATAAGATTCAAATCGTTTGCATATTCATGTATTGCAATGGAACTATAACAAAGAAAATTTTAACTCATGAAAAGAGTAAACTATTAACTGTGCTTTGTCAATTTATTCAGTCAGAATATGAAATATTTTTTTCAGTTCTATGTTTCATAATAAAACAAACAAGACAAAGATTTCAAATCAATATTTTTTTCTTTTATTAAGACATGTCATCATTTTATTTCAGTTAAAGGATTTTATTTTTTTACTTTAAATAGTATTATACTTTCCAAAATAATAATAATCTTTATTGTCATATAAACAAATTAAAAACATGTTTGTGACAAAATGAAAAAAACCAAAATACACTCATACATGTCATATATATATTATAAACTTTTTACTACCAAACAGAATTCATTGTAACATACACATTACTCAATATTTATAATTTGAATTCCATAGGATTTTATTTTGTCCCATGGGATATTAAAAATCCCATGGGATAATTATAGTCCCATGGGATTTTTTTGGTCCCATGGGACAACAAATATCCCATGGGTCTACAATTATCCCATGGGACCCAAAAAAATCCTATGGGATTTAACCAAAATCCCATGGGATAATGGTCAATCCCATGGGATTTGCCTTATCCCATGGGATATTGAAAATCCCATGTTTTTCTAAATCAAATTACAGAATATATATAATAATAACAGTAGAAAAGCAATGAAATTATTGAATCCCATGTAATTCCGCACATTTTGGTTATATACACGACATTGTAGGTCTAAGGAGAGGCGGCGGCGGATTTGCAAATGAGTGTTTTGCAAATTAAAAGTGTCCAGTGTTAACACATTAACGCTTTAATAAGGCGAATTTTCTGTAAAAAGTAAATAATAAAAGACCAAACTTTCTGTTCACAGGCATGTGTTTCTAAAAAAAATGTCCTAAATACTTTTATCAAGGTAAACATGAAAAAAAATAACAGAGACAAGTGCCTGTGTTTCTGTTGCTTACAATACGCTAATGAGACATTTGAAATCTAATGATTTGAGACACAAAATAATGTCAATGCTAAATATAAGGTTAAAGTCCGAGTCAGCCTTATACCGCCATTACTTTTAAATTAAATCTCTCGAAAAGGAGTTACAAACTTATTTATATCTTCAGCTTATTTTGTTCATTAACTAATGCTTTTCTGATTTAAAGTAAAAATTTTAAATTCAATATTCTTTTTATTTCACCTGACTACACCCTGAAAAGGACAGTTACACTCTGAATTTAAAAAAAAAAAACTATTGTCTGTTTTAATTTTTTGACAATTAATGGTTATGATTGGATTTTGTTCAGTGTTTCTTCTTTACTACTAGTAAATGCCCAGAAATTTGAGAAACTTTGCAGATCACGTGTTTTCATCCTTTGAAAAGGTTATTATTTTAAAGAGAATCATTGATGAAATATACTTTACGCACATCTACACGCTTGTGTATTTTAACAAATCATAGCATTTTTCAGTCTTATTATACAGTAAATTGATTAACTAATTAATTGGTGATTGCTTTACGCCGCATCAGCACAAAAGGCTATATCGCGGCGAGAGCTATTTCAAATATTTTAACAAAAACAGCTTTAAAAATCAGACAAGCGGTCTTTCAGTTCACTAAAACTTTAGTTTAAAGCTAATTATATATTACTGTTAAAGTTATTTTCCCAATTTAACCCAAACGAAAGCAGTGAGTAAATGAAGTAAAATATGCCCGATCTGCCTATTTTTAGCATAAAAATATAAAAATAAGAAGATGTGGTATATGATTGCCAATGAGACAACTATCCACCAAAGTTCAAATGAAGTGGATGTAAGCAGTTATAGGCAACTGTACGGCCTTCAACAATGAGAAAAAGTATATTTGATTATTCAAAGCCCGGGATCGTTTACCTCGCACAATCTTGTGAGACAATTAAGAAAAGACCGTGACCGGTAAAATATCAGAGGAACTAAAAAATAATTTACGAGAAACATCACAAAGCTTAAAGTAACACAAATCACACATAATGACCCAAAAAGCTCAAACTGTTAATTGTAATGTGGTGTATATAGTTGAATACAGATTTCAATGTCATTACAAAGGTTTCAACTGAAGAGCTTCATCAGGTGGAAATACACAAAGATTGTCTGATAAAGGTCGGTTCAAACGAAAGTAAAATAAAAAAAAAAAAAAGATGTCAGTGTTCGGTCAACTAGCACAGACCCGTTAGAAATGTTCCGTCTATCTAAATATTACATATACAACCTGAAGCAGACTGAAATATTAAGATGACAATTGGCAATATCTTCTGCTCTTTCATGACTGTAAATTTTAGTCCCATAACCACTATCGTTGCAAGTATGGCTAGAAAGGCAAGTGTCTCGAAGGCTTGGACTGCCTCCAACCATCCTAAAAGCAAGAACTGTACGTGTAGTTATTTTCACTTCAAATTAAGACCATTTTGGGTCTTGTTAAGCCTCCTTTTTAAGTCAATGACTTAAACTCAGCTTGAAATTAACGTGTGTCGCCAAAACAAACTATATAATCATCTGATCTTGCAGATCTGAAGCAATGTTTCAAACATCGACAATAAAGAGTGAGTTATATTATAGAATACTTGTAAAATGATTTTTTTTTAAAAGACGCTTTCAACAGAAATTCGAAGAAATTAAGACGAAAAGAAAATTGTAATCATTTCTTTGAGATACAGTTATTGTCGACTTTTATCTTTCAGAAAACATATGCATTTCTTAAAAAATAAATTTAGTTAATAAAGGAATACAAACCTTCAATTGTAAATTTATCGCTAACGATGTCAATACACTCGCTTTTAAAACAATATTTCCAAAGTCCAATATTAAAAGTACCACTTTTTACCCAGTATGGTGCTCCATAACCGATCAAATGTACAAGAAATCCAACAGCAGTCAAAATTGCTGATATAAGAGCGAATTTCGAAATTCCTTCAAATAACCCCATTGTCCGATGTTGATTGCGTCCACACAAAATTATTTAAAGACCTGAACGAGCTTGTTCAGTAGATATTTATATTATTTAAATAAGTTAAAAATAGTAAAGAAGCGCGAAGAATAAATACTTCCTTATACTTGGGTTTTGTAATAGTTACATGACCGAGTTTTCCCGTCCGTAATAATAATAGTCGAAGAGTTGTCCTAGGTTTGAGAAAAAATTGTTTGGATCACATTGATTGAAGTAACAAATACCTTGCACTGAAGTAAACCATGGCAAAATAAAGGACTGCTTAGTCTGCAAAATCTGTTCCGATGAGTGGTTTGATATTTCAAGGCAAAATTTGTGTTTTACTAGTTAATACTTAAAACACCTTGCTCAAGGATATTTCCAAAAGCCAAGACGAATAACTATGGCAAGCCGTTCTCGTCAAAACTATGTTTAAACTATTTTTTGAAAAATTTACACACTGAGAATTTAAAAAAAACACACACTGAGATTAAAAAACCTAAAAATACACACTGAGAATTAAACATTACACACTGAGATTTTATAAAAACGCACTGAGATTTCAAAAAATGAAAAACACACACTGAGAATTGAAAATTACACACCGAGAATTGAAAGTTACACAATGAGATTTCAAAAAGAGACACTGAGATAAAATAAACTGAAAAACACACACTGAGAATTTGAAACTACACACTGAGAATTTAAAATTACACACATAGATTTGTGCGCACTTTTTATGCGCACATATTTAATTAGAATACTTAATTTGAATCTATTACAAGCTGAAAACAACTAGGGGACAGAACTCGTTAGTCCTTCAATTTGGCGCTATATGTTTTATAAAAAAACATTAAAAATACAACGTATAGAAAAACTACGTTATCAAAGACCAATAGAACAAGAAAAATACCCACTTACTCTCATTACAAAATATAACCAAATGGTGAAAAACTTTATTAAAATTATAAGAACACATTGGAACAATCTGCAAAAATACAAACAATGCAATGAATATTTTCCCAAGTGCCTATTATAGCATATAGAATGCATTCTAAACGTAACAAAAATATAAAAAAAGATTACCTTGCGAAATCAGGGTAACAGTTAAAAGACTTTTGAAAAGGGACCATGCTTAAACAGTTTATAGCAAAAACATCCCAATATACTGTTAGTATAGGCAACAAACTTATGAATATGAATTAGCAAAAAAGTTGTTAAGTCTTGAAATTTATTACGAATGTTGGTTGTAGGAACCGCATTTCTTTATAATGACAAGAGATCGGGAGACGAAGATATTAATCTGTTGAATTATTCATCTCATAGATAATCATTAGTAATTTGCATATTAATCTCAGTGTGTATTTTTGATATCTCATTGTGTAATTAACAGTTCTCAGTGTGTGTTTTTCAATTTATTTTATCTCAGTGTGTCTTTTTAAAATCTCAGTGTGTAATTTTAAAATTCTCAGTGCGTGTTTTTCATTTTTTTAAATCTCAATGTGTAATCTTAAAATCTCAGTATGTAATTTTAAAATCTCAGTGTGTAATTTCGATTTCTCAGTGTGTTATTTTAGATTCTTAAATCTCAGTGTGATTTTTTAAATTTTCAGTGTGTAATTTTTTCGAAAAAATGGTTTAAACATAGTTTTTGACGAGAACGGCTTGCCATAAATAACGTTTTATCAAAATGCAATCTTGTTTTTATATTACATGATGTCCTCAATATATACAGCAACCAACACACAATTCAGCCTGAGGACACACTCGCTTGTTTACAATTCGTATTAACTTACATAAAATTGTGAAGTTCGTAGCCTGAAGACATAACTTTAGAAAAGAGTAATTATTTGGCCTTTATCTATTTAATTTTTTTTATATATGTATTTCTCTCGTCATTAGAACATACTCGCCCCTTCTCGTCCAATGGAACATCAGTATTTTCCCTTCTATTTTTTTTTTTATAGTATATGACTTTCAAAACACTATAAAATGCAAGACAAAATGGATGACTTTTCATTGTAGATTAATTATGAAAGTGAACTCTTAAAAACTGCACTAACGAGGAACTGGTTTCCGCCCTTCCTTTTTGTTTGGGGGTACGGTGCATTTATCATTCCAAGAGTAAAAGTTTGATATCTGTCACTGGACATTACAGAAACAATCAATCAATAAGTCAATAAACACGAAATATGCATCTCTTTATATGACAAAAAAGTCAATCAATAAATCATTCAATCAAGAAGACGACCAAACCTTTCAATCGATTGTATTATCGATTAATGAATGTGAAATTTTAACCAATCAATAAACCTACCTATCTATGGCACGGTATTGGTTGCAAAAATTTGATATTTTTCATTTAAATGCAATATTTCTTATTTAATTCGTATATTTCTTCATTTAAATGCAATATTTTTTTATTTGAATGGTAAATTTTTCATTTAAATGCAAGATTTTTTATTCAGATGGTATAATTTTTCATTCAAATGGTGTAATTTTTCATTCAAATGGTACAATTTTTCATTCAAATGGTATAATTTTCGATCAAATGCAATATTTTTTATTCAATTGGTATAAAATGTAATTTGAATGCAATATTTTTTATTCAATTGGTATAGTAGCTTTTTTATTTATATGCAATAATTGCATTATGGGAAATTCTTTGACGTCATAAGGTCAGATTTGCAACAACGTTTGTGATTGGTCGGTAATTGTTTGGATTTCTCCCCTTTCTTTCTAAACTTGAGTGACCAAGAATTAAAAAACGCGTCAGAATATCGCCCTTGAACTAATTTTGGCGTTCTTGCGAGTTCGTGCACTGACTGTTAATGCCAATAATGGCCAGGACGAGCAAAAAATGCGAGTGACAAGTAGTAATAATTAATTTGACACACAACTTGTTCATGGATAGAAACAGATGCATGGCAAAAACACCTCCAATGAAAACCTTTTCTGAAGAAACTCTCCTACAGTCTACACATTTAAATAAAAAAAAATACATAGCTAGCCCCCTCCCCCTTCTAAGTCCAGATACATGTAATCATGACGTTCTTTAGTGCTATATCATTTTTTTACTTTTCTTGATCATCAGAGACATTGCAGGAAGGCACCAATGAAAAAAGAATAAAAAGCATCCAGGACGTTACAATTATTTGGACTAAGCCCCCTCTTTTTTACTACATGTAGAAAAAAAATCACCTAATTACGACAGCAGAACCAGAAACCCACAAGTAGAGACATAAGCTGTTATACTCCGGAACTAATTCTTTATATATATGTGTGTGAAGGTTGAAAATATTTTCAATGTCATGGGTATCAATTTTCTGAATTACATTTAAAGCTCTCTTCAATTTCTTCGAGAAAAATGGAAAACAATACGTCAGACATGTTTCATAATTTTTTATATACATAAAAATATGACTGACTGATGTTAAAGTTGTTAGTATTTTAATGATTGTATCAAAGAGAAAGTTTCGCTTCATCAGTTCTGTGGACATTGATTCAATCGGCATGAAGGAAAATCAAAATTCTTTCTTCTACGAGCTTTCGTGGCTCTTAAATTTAAATTCACTGCCAATAAAAAAATACGTTTTTCAAAATATGCAAAGATTGTGGTTCTCTTCAATGATAAAATAACAAAAGGAAAAAAAATATATTTGTTTAAAGACAACTCTCTTGCAGGACTGTAGCCTCACACTACAGAATAAGTAATGTTAAATACAGTCCTATTGTTCACCGTGCTTGTAAAGCGACACTAATTTTGATTATTCCATATTGGTATAATATAAGTAGGTTTCTCTATATGAATTTGATTTTGAATATGGAATAAAACAATTATTGTCTTTTGTTTCGGTAAACATGTGGTTTAATTGACTTTTGAAAAACTGATATTCACTTCGGCCGTCGGCCTCAGTGAATATCAGTTTTTTTCAAAAGTCAATAAAACCGCATATTAACCTCATCAAAAGACAGTAATTGTATAATATTCCTAGCAAACATACATGGTTAGTGGGTGAATATTTCTATCTTTTACACCCAACCTAGTTTGTAATAGCAGGATTAATATCTAAAGCCTATTATTTTTATAATAATATACTAGTACTCGGAAGCTCAATAACAATTTACACGGAAGTCCAGTAGTAATATTAATGATGCTTGTTTCGATTGTACTTCTGTTTATGCAGGTGAAGAAGCGCCTCTCCAATCCAAGAAACTGAAGACTCCAGCGACGAGAATAATGATCGAAGCTATTATCACAAAAACAAACGCGAATCCATAGCTAGTTATAGTACTTTTGGCACCATATATGATCACACCTAGAAGGATTAGACCAACTGAAATAAAGAATTAGATAAATTATTTATTTATTCAAAAAGCTCTGAATCTTATTAAAAAAACAATGAAGAAAAAAGAAAACAACTTAAAATTGTTAACCGTGGCATCTATTTTAATTTAAAGATAATTACGCCTTTTCATAATCTAAGGACTATGGGCAATCTCATTGTTTGTGCACCGAAATGAAAATAACGCTACGTCATTGGTTGAATTTCCATTGTTTATGACGTTTTAAACCGATCACAAAGTTTTAATGTACTTTTTTTTCAAAATAATACCCAGATCGATTAGATTCTGAAACGGCGTGACCTCTTGATGAATTTTGGTTCATGGTGTTGTAGTGTTGTGGTCATACTGACGTATACGCAACATTTAGAAAATTTAGAATAAAAGGAAAAAAATAAGAATAGAGAAAATAGGCCAATACAATTAAGAATAGAGTATATTGATCAAAATCAATAGAGAATAGAGAAAGCTGCCTAAATAATAAGGAATACAGAAATGAAGAACCCCATTCAGACCCTCTTTTATAAATTGGTCGGTGAATAGATTTACTAGTTGACATAGACAAAATTTACAGAAAATTTGAACTATGTGCACAAAGGATTGACTTAATTAGTGACCTTAAAAAGTTTGTTATCAATCAACTAAATCTATTTAGCACATACTTACAACTTCTCGTCCAATCATATTGCTTGAATTTGCCTTCTAATTTTCATAGTACATACTTTTTCCGTGTACTAAGTAACCACGCATGAATGACCACAAGGTTAAGATTTCATTGTATCGTAATCGAGATATGAAAACAAAAATTGCCACTGGCTATTTTCCAAATAAAATGTTCCAAATTAAATTAAATAGTTTGTAATTAGTTTTCACGTTGATTTTTACATATCCTGCTATTAAAATCTTTGGATTTAAAAAATGTTTTTGACAATTGCAAGTTTTTTTTCATTTAAATAAAGAGTAACAAATATGGCTCTTTATACCTTGATTAGAGAGCAGGGCTATCTTAAAATTGTAATATAATTTATCATCAATGCAACTACTTTGTACACAAAACAAAAGTGTGTACTATGAATTATTGTGAAGGGAAATTAAGGCAATTTGGTGATTTTATTAACTTTCTTGGGGAAATTGATCTATTTCGTCATGAATTGATTGATTGATTACTGGTTGCTTAATGTCCAGTGGCAAATATTTCATGCATGTCTTGAATTGAAAAACCGTGATAATGTCTGAAGAGAATGTGCCACCCATATATATATATATATATATATATACATATTCTGATTAATCTTTTAGTTTTTACTTTGAAAAAAAAACACATAAAAAACACAAAACCTATAATCTCTGATCTATTGGTAGTTTCTTTTTAATGCTATCCGCTATACTATCTATGGGGACAAACTATCTATATGTTTCAAATAATCTTAATTTATTATAACTTCAGTTTTACTGTGAAATTGAAAAGTGTTTTCAAAACATGTAAAGCTTCCACTGCAATTTAATTATTGTCTGCTTTTGGTCAATTCATTTTGTCATCTTACCATGTAAAGAAGTACATGTATAGTAAAACACCGCTTTATATCAATATACATACTTACACCAGCAGCTATCATCTTTTCATTCTAGAGTCACTAGGGCCTTTTGAAATCACATATTTTACAATGATACTAGTGAGTACATTTACAAAACATAAAATTCGATAATGAGCTCCGTTTTACAAACACCTGTGACACAAGAAGTTAGCCAAAATAAACTATCAATAGACCAATTAAAAGATTACTCGAGTTGTAAATATGTGCTAAATTGGATAGTCTATGAAAAGGTATATACTATGAAGTTAAGAGCTCGGGGCAAGCCCCTCGCTCTAAATTTCATAGTATATACCTTTCCATAAACTAACCTAGACATAAAAAAACAGGTAAATGTTGGAGGCAGTTCGGTGATTGCTTAACCTCGACTCCTTAAACGCTTTGCATGGCAATGCCATTGAAATGAATACAGAAATATGGAAATTATGTTGCTAAATTTATGTATATGTGTATTATTTGTTAACACATTAACGCTTTAATAAGGCGAATTTTCTGTAAAAAGTAAATAATAAAAGACCAAACTTTCTGTTCACAGGCATGTGTTTCTAAAAAAAATGTCCTAAATACTTTTATCAAGGTAAACATGAAAAAAAATAACAGAGACAAGTGCCTGTGTTTCTGTTGCTTACAATACGCTAATGAGACATTTGAAATCTAATGATTTGAGACACAAAATAATGTCAATGCTAAATATAAGGTTAAAGTCCGAGTCAGCCTTATACCGCCATTACTTTTAAATTAAATCTCTCGAAAAGGAGTTACAAACTTATTTATATCTTCAGCTTATTTTGTTCATTAACTAATGCTTTTCTGATTTAAAGTAAAAATTTTAAATTCAATATTCTTTTTATTTCACCTGACTACACCCTGAAAAGGACAGTTACACTCTGAATTTAAAAAAAAAAAACTATTGTCTGTTTTAATTTTTTGACAATTAATGGTTATGATTGGATTTTGTTCAGTGTTTCTTCTTTACTACTAGTAAATGCCCAGAAATTTGAGAAACTTTGCAGATCACGTGTTTTCATCCTTTGAAAAGGTTATTATTTTAAAGAGAATCATTGATGAAATATACTTTACGCACATCTACACGCTTGTGTATTTTAACAAATCATAGCATTTTTCAGTCTTATTATACAGTAAATTGATTAACTAATTAATTGGTGATTGCTTTACGCCGCATCAGCACAAAAGGCTATATCGCGGCGAGAGCTATTTCAAATATTTTAACAAAAACAGCTTTAAAAATCAGACAAGCGGTCTTTCAGTTCACTAAAACTTTAGTTTAAAGCTAATTATATATTACTGTTAAAGTTATTTTCCCAATTTAACCCAAACGAAAGCAGTGAGTAAATGAAGTAAAATATGCCCGATCTGCCTATTTTTAGCATAAAAATATAAAAATAAGAAGATGTGGTATGATTGCCAATGAGACAACTATCCACCAATGTTCAAATGAAGTGGATGTAAGCAGTTATAGGCAACTGTACGGCCTTCAACAATGAGAAAAAGTATATTTGATTATTCAAAGCCCGGGATCGTTTACCTCGCACAATCTTGTGAGACAATTAAGAAAAGACGGTGACCGGTAAAATATCAGAGGAACTAAAAAATAATTTACGAGAAACATCACAAAGCTTAAAGTAACACAAATCACACATAATGACCCAAAAAGCTCAAACTGTTAATTGTAATGTGGTGTATATAGTTGAATACAGATTTCAATGTCATTACAAAGGTTTCAACTGAAGAGCTTCATCAGGTGGAAATACACAAAGATTGTCTGATAAAGGTCGGTTCAAACGAAAGTAAAATAAAAAAAAAAAAAAGATGTCAGTGTTCGGTCAACTAGCACAGACCCGTTAGAAATGTTCCGTCTATCTAAATATTACATATACAACCTGAAGCAGACTGAAATATTAAGATGACAATTGGCAATATCTTCTGCTCTTTCATGACTGTAAATTTTAGTCCCATAACCACTATCGTTGCAAGTATGGCTAGAAAGGCAAGTGTCTCGAAGGCTTGGACTGCCTCCAACCATCCTAAAAGCAAGAACTGTACGTGTAGTTATTTTCACTTCAAATTAAGACCATTTTGGGTCTTGTTAAGCCTCCTTTTTAAGTCAATGACTTAAACTCAGCTTGAAATTAACGTGTGTCGCCAAAACAAACTATATAATCATCTGATCTTGCAGATCTGAAGCAATGTTTCAAACATCGACAATAAAGAGTGAGTTATATTATAGAATACTTGTAAAATGATTTTTTTTTAAAAGACGCTTTCAACAGAAATTCGAAGAAATTAAGACGAAAAGAAAATTGTAATCATTTCTTTGAGATACAGTTATTGTCGACTTTTATCTTTCAGAAAACATATGCATTTCTTAAAAAATAAATTTAGTTAATAAAGGAATACAAACCTTCAATTGTAAATTTATCGCTAACGATGTCAATACACTCGCTTTTAAAACAATATTTCCAAAGTCCAATATTAAAAGTACCACTTTTTACCCAGTATGGTGCTCCATAACCGATCAAATGTACAAGAAATCCAACAGCAGTCAAAATTGCTGATATAAGAGCGAATTTCGAAATTCCTTCAAATAACCCCATTGTCCGATGTTGATTGCGTCCACACAAAATTATTTAAAGACCTGAACGAGCTTGTTCAGTAGATATTTATATTATTTAAATAAGTTAAAAATAGTAAAGAAGCGCGAAGAATAAATACTTCCTTATACTTGGGTTTTGTAATAGTTACATGACCGAGTTTTCCCGTCCGTAATAATAATAGTCGAAGAGTTGTCCTAGGTTTGAGAAAAAATTGTTTGGATCACATTGATTGAAGTAACAAATACCTTGCACTGAAGTAAACCATGGCAAAATAAAGGACTGCTTAGTCTGCAAAATCTGTTCCGATGAGTGGTTTGATATTTCAAGGCAAAATTTGTGTTTTACTAGTTAATACTTAAAACACCTTGCTCAAGGATATTTCCAAAAGCCAAGACGAATAACTATGGCAAGCCGTTCTCGTCAAAACTATGTTTAAACTATTTTTTGAAAAATTTACACACTGAGAATTTAAAAAAAACACACACTGAGATTAAAAAACCTAAAAATACACACTGAGAATTAAACATTACACACTGAGATTTTATAAAAACGCACTGAGATTTCAAAAAATGAAAAACACACACTGAGAATTGAAAATTACACACCGAGAATTGAAAGTTACACAATGAGATTTCAAAAAGAGACACTGAGATAAAATAAACTGAAAAACACACACTGAGAATTTGAAACTACACACTGAGAATTTAAAATTACACACATAGATTTGTGCGCACTTTTTATGCGCACATATTTAATTAGAATACTTAATTTGAATCTATTACAAGCTGAAAACAACTAGGGGACAGAACTCGTTAGTCCTTCAATTTGGCGCTATATGTTTTATAAAAAAACATTAAAAATACAACGTATAGAAAAACTACGTTATCAAAGACCAATAGAACAAGAAAAATACCCACTTACTCTCATTACAAAATATAACCAAATGGTGAAAAACTTTATTAAAATTATAAGAACACATTGGAACAATCTGCAAAAATACAAACAATGCAATGAATATTTTCCCAAGTGCCTATTATAGCATATAGAATGCATTCTAAACGTAACAAAAATATAAAAAAAGATTACCTTGCGAAATCAGGGTAACAGTTAAAAGACTTTTGAAAAGGGACCATGCTTAAACAGTTTATAGCAAAAACATCCCAATATACTGTTAGTATAGGCAACAAACTTATGAATATGAATTAGCAAAAAAGTTGTTAAGTCTTGAAATTTATTACGAATGTTGGTTGTAGGAACCGCATTTCTTTATAATGACAAGAGATCGGGAGACGAAGATATTAATCTGTTGAATTATTCATCTCATAGATAATCATTAGTAATTTGCATATTAATCTCAGTGTGTATTTTTGATATCTCATTGTGTAATTAACAGTTCTCAGTGTGTGTTTTTCAATTTATTTTATCTCAGTGTGTCTTTTTAAAATCTCAGTGTGTAATTTTAAAATTCTCAGTGCGTGTTTTTCATTTTTTTAAATCTCAATGTGTAATCTTAAAATCTCAGTATGTAATTTTAAAATCTCAGTGTGTAATTTCGATTTCTCAGTGTGTTATTTTAGATTCTTAAATCTCAGTGTGATTTTTTAAATTTTCAGTGTGTAATTTTTTCGAAAAAATGGTTTAAACATAGTTTTTGACGAGAACGGCTTGCCATAAATAACGTTTTATCAAAATGCAATCTTGTTTTTATATTACATGATGTCCTCAATATATACAGCAACCAACACACAATTCAGCCTGAGGACACACTCGCTTGTTTACAATTCGTATTAACTTACATAAAATTGTGAAGTTCGTAGCCTGAAGACATAACTTTAGAAAAGAGTAATTATTTGGCCTTTATCTATTTAATTTTTTTTATATATGTATTTCTCTCGTCATTAGAACATACTCGCCCCTTCTCGTCCAATGGAACATCAGTATTTTCCCTTCTATTTTTTTTTTTATAGTATATGACTTTCAAAACACTATAAAATGCAAGACAAAATGGATGACTTTTCATTGTAGATTAATTATGAAAGTGAACTCTTAAAAACTGCACTAACGAGGAACTGGTTTCCGCCCTTCCTTTTTGTTTGGGGGTACGGTGCATTTATCATTCCAAGAGTAAAAGTTTGATATCTGTCACTGGACATTACAGAAACAATCAATCAATAAGTCAATAAACACGAAATATGCATCTCTTTATATGACAAAAAAGTCAATCAATAAATCATTCAATCAAGAAGACGACCAAACCTTTCAATCGATTGTATTATCGATTAATGAATGTGAAATTTTAACCAATCAATAAACCTACCTATCTATGGCACGGTATTGGTTGCAAAAATTTGATATTTTTCATTTAAATGCAATATTTCTTATTTAATTCGTATATTTCTTCATTTAAATGCAATATTTTTTTATTTGAATGGTAAATTTTTCATTTAAATGCAAGATTTTTTATTCAGATGGTATAATTTTTCATTCAAATGGTGTAATTTTTCATTCAAATGGTACAATTTTTCATTCAAATGGTATAATTTTCGATCAAATGCAATATTTTTTATTCAATTGGTATAAAATGTAATTTGAATGCAATATTTTTTATTCAATTGGTATAGTAGCTTTTTTATTTATATGCAATAATTGCATTATGGGAAATTCTTTGACGTCATAAGGTCAGATTTGCAACAACGTTTGTGATTGGTCGGTAATTGTTTGGATTTCTCCCCTTTCTTTCTAAACTTGAGTGACCAAGAATTAAAAAACGCGTCAGAATATCGCCCTTGAACTAATTTTGGCGTTCTTGCGAGTTCGTGCACTGACTGTTAATGCCAATAATGGCCAGGACGAGCAAAAAATGCGAGTGACAAGTAGTAATAATTAATTTGACACACAACTTGTTCATGGATAGAAACAGATGCATGGCAAAAACACCTCCAATGAAAACCTTTTCTGAAGAAACTCTCCTACAGTCTACACATTTAAATAAAAAAAAATACATAGCTAGCCCCCTCCCCCTTCTAAGTCCAGATACATGTAATCATGACGTTCTTTAGTGCTATATCATTTTTTTACTTTTCTTGATCATCAGAGACATTGCAGGAAGGCACCAATGAAAAAAGAATAAAAAGCATCCAGGACGTTACAATTATTTGGACTAAGCCCCCTCTTTTTTACTACATGTAGAAAAAAAATCACCTAATTACGACAGCAGAACCAGAAACCCACAAGTAGAGACATAAGCTGTTATACTCCGGAACTAATTCTTTAATAAAGACTATTCAGGATAAATTGGAACCAGTTACTAACCCATGTTACAACAATAGTCCTATGACATAGGACTTCACTATATGAGGCGTGAACTTCATATTTAATACTATCTATAATATGTGCTCTCATGTCTTATGCTGCAAATCATTTTACATTTAGGATTCGTTGCAGAGCCTTTTTTAACTGTTCTCGTCTCCGAATCCCTTAAATAGATTTTTTTTCAAGCCCCACAGTAGTTCAATAATTACTATATGTCTTTGTATAAATAAGTATGCAGGGCATATTTCAAAACATATTTTATCTTCAGGACTTTTAAATGATTTACTTTTCAATACTGCATTGGGAAGGGGGGTATACAAGTTTATTTTGTGACACATTATATAATATAATTAGGTATCCAACAAATTATATGATTGTACGTTTAGCTATTATCTAGACCCGTACAAAATGTATATAATTAGACACATTTAACAGGGGCGGATCCAAAACCTCGGTGTCTAGAAGGAGGGGGGGGGGGGGGGGGGGGAGTATGTTCAAATTTAGATATTTGTATAGAGATGTATATATGCGAGTATTGGCAGTAATGGTTATGCTGTGTGTGTGAGAGTAGGGGTTTCAGATCAAAGATCGTTTCTATAATTCTATATCTTTTAGTTTTTACCATTTCACTCTATTCTTTATCCTTTGATCTCTATTATATTTGTCCTAAACATGCGTGACATATTTGCCACTGGACATAAGGCAACCAAAAGTCAATCAACGTATTCTGTATATTTCATCATTTCTTTATTATGTTATCTATAGGTTTGGTCCCTTCCCCTTGTCTATTTTTTTGCACATTAGGGACGACATCAAAAGTTCAATGTAGGATAAAAAAAACTTAATTCATATAGTTTTTTTCACTGACCAACTACCCCCCCCCCCGCCCCCCCCCCCCCCCCCTTTCCCCCCTCTTAACTTAATTTGGGAAAAATCGATTGACCAATAAGGATATATATAAAATCGATGTTAATTAAACAAAACTTGCAGCAATTTTGACCCCCCCCCCCCCAAAAAAAAACTATTTGAATTAAGTCTTTTATCCTCATTGATTTTCTGATGTCGTCCCTTATCCTCTCTATGTAAACCCAATTTATGTCCTGATAAATGGTGACTCATGAATAGCATCATATGTGGTTATTAAAACAAGAAACATATTCATATTATAATAATTAATGTATGCTAGGACTTATAGATAGATGTCATTAGTCCCAGGTCATGTAATAAAGTAGGTCTTATAAAAATACAATAGCATTTTAATTTTGATGATTATATACATGTTTATATATTTGATAATGCCATTTTTTTGGAAAAAAGGGTAGGGGCAAGGCGTTTTTAAAACATATCAATTGGGCGCGTTTTTTTTGTTCTTCGGAAGTGAGCCAGAAGAAGTCCATTTCTGTATTTTTTTGGCATTGGGAAGATCTTCTGGCTCTCTTCCACCTCTTCTTTTTTGATAGGTTGGCGGTAGAGGCACATAACAAACATGGCGTCGTTTAGTCTAAATGAAATTAATAAATTTATGAATGCAGATATATTAGAATGTGAGCTGTTTTATAAACGTTTTTATGGTATGACAGCCTTAGTAGGACATCCCTGTAGGACGATAAGCTGGATAAATATAAGAACTACACGGACAATAACAGTTAAGGGACGATTATTTGATATTCTAGGGAAGGGATTTTGATTGATTGAGGTTTAACGCTACTTTCAACACTATTGGGCTATTCCGTGGTGGTCAGTTTAAATTTATAGATGAAGGATTGGAAAGGGAAGAGAAGGCATTATTATTCATTTCAATCTGTCGCTAATCATGCCTATTTTTCAGATCTTACCAGGCAA